GTAGCTGTTACATATAATAATAATTCAATATACAAATATTCAATTTATCATGATAAATCATAATATGCATTCCATTAAATGACACACTGACTACTTTGAACGGCTACACTCCAATGTATTTGACTCAAAAGGTGTAGGTGTAGGACATTCAGATAATTATCGATTTGTGTGTATTACCTGTGCCTATATGACTAATAGGGTGTAGGACGTTTGCGCATTGATATTGTTACGAATTAGTTAGTTGAACAGTATTGACAATCGGGCAGGGGAGGCCAGGAAATCGATGACCTAAAAATAATGGTTAGAATAAAAAATGCAAACACGATCGAATGGACTGAAAATAAATTATCGTTACTGATTACCATTCAAAGATATTTGGTTGGAACCTGTATTAAATATTTTTTAAATTTAAATAGTATAATATATACACATTACACCTGACATTCTGACCCTGTTGTTTGCGGTTATAATGATATAATATTTATGTAAGCATCTTTGCGTTTGAACTGCGCGTCTCGTGACAAGGAAGAAGTACCTGTATTAAATATTAATGTCTATATGCGGAAGAGAACATGCATACATCTCGACTTACCTATATAGTTGGTAATACTGGTTAGGTTACAACATGCAGTTGTAATAATCAAGAGTTTTACATAAAAACCCGCTCCTTCCTTGTCTGGACGAAGAACGTGCCTATTCTTGCCCAATTTGCACCCCTAGACCATAGTTATCAGTGGCGTGCTCAGCTTTATTGAAAAGGGGGGAGGATATACATTTTTGATTATTTTTAGATCTCGCTGTATACTGTATAGTAGTAAATATACTTTTTTTGCTGTACCAACCATATTTTTATATGACAAAAATAAGTGTAACCGGTATAATATGATCCTCCTTCCGCCATGTTAGCACTACACTGATAGTAATTGTGCATTTGTACAGGGTTACTGTAGGTATATTTATCACCTGCATTTAACGGCTAACTATGTGACTACGTGAGAGACTATCCTCCTGCAATGCCTACCTCATATTATAGAGGCAGTTACTTTTGAGAGGATTTGTAGGAACTCGTTCTCGCTCCAATGGGCAACAATAATATTCTATTGTGCATAATTTTAATACTATACGTCTATACATAAATATTATTTATTTGTAGTATAATTTATTTATATTCTGATATGGATTCAGTTTCTTAGTTTTAATTAAAACCATATTTTCTGCTCGTGGACAATACAGAAACAGAAAATGTATGCATCCATTTTTTAGTGTAGCATTTTGTATTTGTTTAGATAACGTTTTGTAGGCTGTTCCGCTGTTGCATTTTTAACAAACAAATGTACTTATGATTTTTTTTTTAAACATTGAGTAGATATTTATTATAAATCATAATGGCCATTAAACTATAGACTAGGGACTATAATAACTGGTTATAAAACTGGGAACCTTATGTTAATTATGAACCTGTGTTTTACCCCCCGGTGAACGTAAACCAAAACAGTTTTTCCATATGTTTAAAAAATCAAACCAAAACCCAAGCCTAATTTTTAAGTTTTTTTTCTGTTATACATTTTTATTTATAAATAAATTGATCAAAAAAATAATGCTATTAGTACGACCTTAACAACTTTATTTATTATTTAATTTATATTTTTCCAAGTCAATTGTATTCTAATACTATTATCATGCATTAAAAAACATTAATACCTATCATATAAAATCCATAGTTTAATGCAGGCCATAATATTTGTCGATGAATTAAGAAGTGAACTACCTATATATAATTATTAATAATATTATAATGATTGATTAGGGTCCAACATTCCAAACCCAACTTTGATGGCCGGGGTACCCAAAGAGTATTTCCTTCTACTATCATACGACTTCTCCAAATTTATAAACATTGCGGTATATTAAGAACACCATGTTGATACACACATGTATTTTCTTTTCACCGAACTTTTCCATGATCTGAATATCTGATACATACCTACAATATATCGGTTCACCCTTACATGGGTACCAAAATACCTTTTCTCCAGGTTAGGCGACCTGGATTTTTTCTTCCACTAGCATTAAAGAAACCTGTTAACCACCTTATGCCCAAGTGGCCTAACGCCCTTACATCATCTATGAACCTCTTCTGGGCGTACATGTTTTCGCCCAAATGACCTTTTTTACCCAAAAATAAAAAAGAGTGTTTTGGATTTTGCCCAAAGAAATATTATTCATGGTAAACGAAAAAACATTTTGGTTACCACTACACATTTTTTTTATTGAATATATGTGTATATATATATATATATATATACCTTTTTATTGTAAATAATATAATACCTATATAGAAACATAGAAAAACGAATTTAAATTTTATATACTTACATTTAAAACATGTCAAAAAAAATAGTATAATATTAAAAAAAATTATTTTTTACTTGTCTAATTATTCGGCACGAGCGAACGACTGTGGCATATAATTTTATCTCGAATTGCGTCCGTACATTCAGCTCAATTATAACTCATCTGATTTATTGGCAAGATATAATTTAAATTAGATTCTGGAGTTTACGCCACTTTTACCTAATGAGCAGTGGTGACCAAAATGCTTTATCGTTTACTATGAATAATATATCTTTGGGCGAAAACCAAATCACTCTTTTTTGTGTTTGGGTAAAAAAAGTCATTTGGTCGAAAACCAAAAAGTTGATTTTGGGTGAAAACAGATTCCCCCTCTACTAGTACAGTTGTATCAGAGCCTACCACTTTCTTCCTATTTGCAGTAAAAACTTCACATTAAGTAAGTCAACTATACCCAGATTTCACATTAATTCTTCTAGTTCTTCCCTTTACCATTAGAATATAGTTTAAAAAGTTCTATGAACCCAAAAAACTAATTCACAAAAAATGTTATTTATTTTAAAATTAAATATAGTATATCTACAAGTTAGGTTAATGGGTTAATCGTTAATATAGACATGTGATAAAACACTTTTGGACTAAATAAACCTTTTTTTTAAATATATCAATAAATTGGTGGCTTGTAATAATTGCTTGTATTTTCAATTTTGCATACTTATTTTACAACTGATTATAATACAATTAGTACAGTACAACGTGACATATGTGAGTAATGAAAAAATGTATTAGTTGAAAAATATATATAGATGTACTTATACAATTATACTTTATTACTATAAAACTTCACAACCTTAATTATTATTCACCAAAGAAACTAATAGTTTCTAAACAAGAAGGTATTAAATTATGTTTTTAATGTTTTTGTATGTTTCTACACATATAATAAGAAACACAGACAAATAATCTAACAATAATAATTAATAATAACTAACAATAATTACTAGGTATATTATAGTTTGCCAATAACAACGGCGTCTGCGCTTGCAAGTATCTTTATTATATTATAGCTGGTATCTACCATATAAACATATAATGTAGGTATATACTCTTACTCAATACAAATATATTATAAAAGTAGGATAGTACCTACTATTATTTGGTAGGTGCGTTTGGTTTTTAAGCTTAAGTGTTATAACTTATAATAGGTACTTTTATAGTTGTATAGGTAAGTATATACAGTGTATCTCAAGAGTTTGGAAATGTTATACACAGTTTATACAATTTAAACATTTCCCAACTTTATATTATAGACAACCTGTATTATGTATAATACATATTTTATTATAATATACCTAATATATTATTATTTTCACAATTTAATAATATAGGTAAAAGTAAATCATTTAAATGAGACGTTATTACGTTAAAGTATGTAAAATATTATGAATTATAAAAACAATTACTCATTAATCACAACAAACTAATATTAACAACCACATCTCGAATTTTCGATAAAAAATGTATACCTAGGTACTTATAGGTAGGTACACATTATTATCATGCTATTATAAATGTATTTTTCTAACAAAATCGATGCGCAATATTATGGTAAGTTATAGCCAATAGGTAACTAATAATATATCAATTTATCATTATCCTACAAGTCACGTACATAGAATTATGTTCATCCCCATTTGAAATTTTTTCGATATCTACCCTGTGTTCATTTTTTATTGCAGCCTCTACAAGATAAAATATGTGTTATTAATATTAATTAGGTAAGTATAATTGAATATTCGCTTAACGATAAAGGCTTAGCTGGAGTGGCGCAACTAGGGGACGCCACGGAGGTTTACTTGACAAATATTGAACGCCCCCTCCCCCCCCCCACCAATCGAAAACAGACGTGTTTGATGTATCACGTTCTGCTTATAGCGTTATGATGATATTGTTGAAGTCCCCCACCAAAAAAAAATATTATTTGACGATGAAATAGTTTTTTGTTATTCTCATGTTAAAATACAATAACTTTGGCATAGTTATTAATGTTGAAAAAAACCGGTGTAATAATAGTGGTTAATTTATAGAATTTCGAGTAGATCATTTGTATTTGATTGCTTCACTATATAGTGTCACTCTACCGTCGCATAAAAAGTAAAAAAAAACCCGCATCCTTAAAAACAAATCGCTTCGCTCGGAATATAAAATTTCTGATGAATTGTATAGGGTGTGTAGGCGGACCTCTAATGATTATTTTAGGTTAATAGTTTTGGTGAGAGGCCCCCTCTCTCAGAATTCCAAACCTAGATGCGTCGGCGGGCTTAGGTACAACATAAGGCAAACCACTCGACTTCTGAAACATCCAAAAACCCCGATAACAATCTGTCTGATCTCGTCCAAATACGACTTAAGTACAAACTCCATAGGTAATACTATAAATGCGGAATTAATCATCGTATATCAGTGGTGATCGTTAGTTACCTATGTTATAATGGACGAGATTGACATTTTAGAAGTCAAACGATACTATATGAGTCTACGAAATAGGAAGTATTTTATATACGACCGTTACGGTTATTAGCACGCGGTGACGGCCTGAAACACTAACATAAAATACATAATATTATCACGTTTCCTAATAAACATTATTTTAATATTATTGACTATATTTATAAACAACCATAGTAATAGTAAAATATACTAGTATGCACAATCGTCTATAACTGAGTCTATGTATTGTATTCGAATCGCGTGTAAATCGGCAACATTCTTATAAACAGTATTATAAATTTTATAATATTATGTATACATTATAGTATACACAAAATTATTGATTAAGTGGAGCAACGTCTTATAGCTGCTGAATCCCTTCGGTGTTTAAGTACGAAGGGTCTACGGACACCACTTTGGCGGTCAGGAACGCATGCACGCAGAACAGCAAGCTTTGCAGGTCTTGACAAACCAATTCCTAATTAGAGACAAACATACAAAATCAATAAAAAATAAATTCATCAGAGTGAAAACAGTATTAATTACGATCGCGGACGATCAGAAATCCAGATCGTATAAAACCTTACAATATAATACTTTGCGATGACCGCTATTATTAAAATAGCTGAAGTGGACCAATCGCTTTTTTTAGTAATAGGTATTTCGAAGTGGAATTCTGATCGCCCAATTTGCTGTGATATAATTATTAATTATTATTATATACTAATATCGTGCATATTGATTAATGATTATTAACAATAATAGCCTGGGGTGTCAGAACGTGCGGAAGCAACAATGGATGTTGCTGGACTTTGTTTTAGATTTTTAGGGCAGTTTGCATGAAATATAATAAACAATAAAATAAATGAAAGTGTTTTTTAAAAACAGTAGTTACCTACAAACTTTGTTGGTATACAAAACTAAAACTTTATAGATTAGTGTTTCGCTAAACATATAGATTCCTTGACCCTTATTGTCACCACTACAGTGGCGGCTTGTACTCGTATATGATATTATGTGCTTATGTGCTCGTGCACTAGGTACCTACCCGGACTCAAGAAAAATTGAAAGCATAATTCATAATAATACAACTAAGTACCCGTAATGTTATTAAGATTATGTTTCCAATTATAAGCATCATAAAACAAAAAATTTAGAATACGAAAATAATTTAATATTATTTGGATTGGGTTATTTCGAAGGACAAACGGCCTGTCGATTGTCCACGCCAGAACGGTATCGGTATGTATAGTAGTGCAGCAGTGCACACAATCGCAGAACACATTTCTGAACAGTGTACAAATTAAAACAGCCAAAATACGTAACCCGAGTTATAAAATGGAATTGATGTGCACATTCGTTTCTATAACATAACCAATTATTGAATTGTTTTCAGAGAATTATTATTATTTGTTCGTAAATAATTATTTAATACAATCTATAATATACTTATTATATATATTATAGTGGTTATATTTTTTTTTGATGTCCAATACTTCATTAAAAACCCACAAGCCGCTTATGCTCCACTCTATAGTAATACAATAATTTATAATATTTCAACACCCCGAGTACGTTAATATACTCGGGCACTCAGTAGTTAAGTAATTAATATTTACAGTGGGTATCTATAATAGGTATTTACTTGTAGTATGAAAAATATATGAAATGCAAATTATTTATATCTAATTTTATTATGAACATTTAACTGGTGTATAGACCATATAATAGAGCTATAGATATTTGATTAGATAATACATGGCTGTGAACAAAGGTATCTTTTTTCGCACCACCGTTTTATGCAGTGGTCGAACTGTCGAACTGTCGAAGTGGCTCAAAATAAGTGGTGGGAAGGAAAATGTGAATTATAAAAAGTGGAAGGATGGGGCACTAATATATTTTATACAGATACCTAAGATAACCGAACCTACTCTCAAAGATACATTAAAAAAGTTATTTTGTACAACCTTGGTTTCGATACAGCCGTTGTCGTTGAAGTGAAGCTTTAGTCGGGAAATGTGATCGTCTGAGGATCCACGGAGCTCTGAAAACTTGTACGTCCAAACATTCGAATTCGTCCAGTTGTCGTATAATGTGAAACCATTGTCCCAATCCAGTATTAAGTTTGAGGGCTGTTGGTTGTTTCCAAACAACACGTAAAACGTTCTGCTCTGTTAAAACGAAATACAATAACATTTTTATATTTTAGAGCTATAATATTAAGAGGACGTAACCTCCGCATGTGTTGTCTCCGTCTTACAAATGTACAACACAGAAACAACTGTTTTGCGCTGGATAACTTTTCTCTCACCATATTTGTTGTAGAATTACCAAATTTTCACAACACGTAAAGAAGAACTTTATCTGTGCAACAGCGTGCTATTTTTTTAATTACACTAACCAATCATTTTTTATAGGCAAATGAAAAAAACAAAATATTTAGAAGCAAATAACTTTTATTGTATTTATGTTGTCTAAAATATAGGCACGCTGTTGCATAGATAATTTTCTACTCTATATGTTCAGAAATTTTGGATTCACTACTACAAACACAGAAAGATAAAATTCGTCCCGCGCCAAACAGTGTTTGCTATGTTGTACACTTGTAAGACGGAGACAACACATGCGGGGGTGACGTCTTCTTAACCTATAAATGGCTAAATATTATGTAATCCATTAGAGGGTATAGCATATAAGTATGTTATATGGTACGAAGTGACTGCAGGTGGTAGATATTTAGGTAAGGGTTATGATAATAATATATTTGAAATTCATTATGGTAAATATCGTGGGTTAAGGAATAAATAATTTTTTGGTAACCGTATTTTGGGAATTTATATTTTATTTGAGGACCTCATACTTTTCATGAGGCCCTAATTTATCTTATATTTTTCATAAGTCTTCACACTCTTTTATAAAGATACATATTTATTTATTTCTAAACGAAATCGTTATCACTGCTATTTAAATAAAATTAACAATAAATCAACATAGGTATTTAAATAATTAAATAAAAATATTTTCCTCTTCAAATTTTTAGGTGCGTTGAATAATAAAAATATATTTTTCATTTTGAAAATCACATCCATTGGCTGAGGAAATTAGTGTAGTAGCCACTAGTAGGTTAAATATATATAAAAGAAAGTCGTGTTAGTTGCACTATTTATAACTCAAGAACGGCTGAACCGATTTGGCTGAAAATTGGTGGATAGGTAGCTTAGAACCAGGAGACGGACATAGAATATGTACTTTTTTTTATTAAAATCGGTTCAGCTGTTCTTGAGTTTTAAATATAGTGTAACGAACACAACTCTCTTTTATATATATAGATAGATTGTACGGCACTGCGGCCCTCGGGTGTTCAGCTACCTGCAACTTAACCTTTCCGTCCGTCAAATTATGTTTTTGATCGGTTTGTAGATATTAATAAATTGTTCCGAGAAGTAAAATTCGACAATCTATTCTTGATTTTATAGTAGAAATTAGTATTTATTTTTTATTTTTTGGTTGCTATTGGTTATCGGACATGCAGATCGGGTATATAAGCATGCATCAAATTTAATTTATGCAAATTGACTACCAAGGTGGCTGAGTTGCACTTACATAGCCGCTCATCGGCGGGTCCACCGTCCACAATCAAAATAAAAATACAAATAAAACATATTATAGAGTATGCACCTAGCGGGGTCCGCCATCCACCTGAGCTAGATTGCCTACCTGATAATATACTGCTCACATTATCACAGTTTCATATAGAGTTAGAATTTTTAACGAGCAACGAAGTGCCCGTTATCAGCTAGTATAATATTGATTGTGAAATGGCAAATGGGCGACCTAATTACTCATATTATGATAGGAATTACCGTTGATTGAGGCAGTGTCACTCACAATATACATTTTTTCCAAAATTTGTTCACATAACATACTTATATAAACAGCTATATTTGAATATTGTATAGGAATTAAAATCCAAAGGACTTACTTTGATGTGCATCATGGACGTGCATATTGACCTGTGCCACGCGCACTGCACGTCCAGTAGACCCTGTTTGGTTTCCATTGAAAAGTACCTGGACACTCCGTTGGAAGTCTGTAGTAAAAAACAATTTTGCCTTTGGTCCACGTTTTCCGCATCCTTCACTAGTCTCAACATGGATTCGTACAGTTTGTACACCACGCCGCAGTCCAACCACTCCGTAATGGACATCTGTTAATATGACACTCGCATGAAATATATTATAAATGAATAGTCACTAACTGGGGGTAGAGGGAGGAGTGCCGCATCTCAAAATTAATCAGAGCAATGCTCTGACTAAGTCAGCTTGCCTAACCTTTGTAATAAATTAGAAAAATATTATTCAAAACGTATTTTAGACTATAATAGTAGTCAGTAGCGTTGCCCTACTAGGTTAAGCGTGTTTTATATTATTATTAATACGTCATATTTTTATTTAACTTCGTTTTATCAAACTAAAATCAATTTTGTCGTGTAAATTGTTAAGCGATTGTTCAATCAAAATTCGAACAAGTGGGTAGTTGTTGAGTTATTTAATACGGTGTGATTACTACACATAATAGGTTTGGAACATAATATGGAGGCTAGAGTAATTTGAAAGTTATTGTAAACAATTTATAGAATTAATCTATAATTAACATGTTGTTATATTGTCTAAGTAGGAACTATATTATGAATATTTTATATTTTTTAAAACCAATTTTAAGTATTATATTATCCTTAGTAGTTAGTACTTACAATTTACAGAACCTAAAAAATATTATATAGTCAAAGTAGTTCTCATTTGAAAACAATTGTATCTCTACAAGACACTTATTAAATAGTTTAAAATATAAGAGCAGGTTTTGAAAATATAATGATCCTTGTAGTTTATTCAAAAATTCCAAAATCAGAATTTTTTTTAATTCATTAATAAGTTAAAATGGTGGTGAGCATTATATTGTGGACTATGTACTATTATGATTAATGTATCAAGTATTAACATTAAGTAATAGACTGAATGTTTTCATACCCCATAAAGTTTCTTCATTGAGTTTTATATATTATATTATAATTTATAACTTAATAAGCATTGAACTCAAATATTTTGTATTGCCAGATTAAGTAACTCTATAGTCTGTGATGATATTTAATTGAAATAAAGTTTGCCCCTCATAAGCATAACACAAGTTACGTCCATGTATATAATTTGTGAAATACAAGTATGTCAAAAATACGGCGCGTGGCACTTTCATGGCTCGTATATGATATCTGCTACGGCAACATAATAATAATATAAAGTATATATTATTTTAAGGGTACCTAATGGATACCTATCTTTTAATTTAATATATAATCAACTATTGTTGACAATAGTTAATAGTTTCCTGCGGGTCGACGACCGACACTCGAGCTTGGCAAACTCTGGGACTTAATTAATAATATTATAATAGTGATGAAAACTTACAAAGTGCAACAAATAACAACAAATATGAAGTCGATGTCATATTATTAATTTAAGATATTTTTTTAATAGGTTAATATTAATTGTTTATTATCGTGTTGTGTAATATGTAAACGAAGTTTCTAAACGAATATATATTTATAATATGACACCACCAACAATTTCCTGACTTGTAATAACGTCGTTCACCTAAAGTAGGTATACGGTATTGTTGTTCTGTTGTTAAATTGGTCCTGAGTCCTGACTCCTGGATTACTAATTGGCTCTCCAAACAGTTGCCACTTGCCTATCAGCACAGAACAATAAGTGCTATCAGTTACGAGGTGAAACATAAAACGTCACTTGCTGCACACTTTATATATATATATACTATACTCCTTATGATATTAATGGAGTGGACTTTCAGTGAAGTATATATTTAATAAGCCCTATTCAACGAGTGATATGCATTTACATAATATATATATATATGTATGTCTGAAGTACTACAACAAAGTACAAACCATAAATTATGATGAATTAAACACAAAAAAAAAATGCAGGTCCATCGGTTTGTTTTCTAAATAAACTTCGTTTCTTGTAAAGTATTACGAGACAATAGTATAATGAACAGCGGTATAGCTATACTTATAAACAAATATTTCGGAAAACGTCGAGTGTCATATACAACAATAGATTTAAGATGATATGGTATCGTATAAGGTTTTAGGTTAGATTATAAGGTAAATCGACCGAGTACAACTATATATACTGGCGTGTACCTATCGTATAAGGCAGTACCTACTTACAGTAATTTATTGCCATTTCCGTGGTGGCATATTGATGAAGTGGATTCATATACGATGTATAATAGATAATATATAAAGCGTTTCTAATTTATGTAACAATAATGCACTGGGGAGACATAAATCGTTTACCGTAACGTAAAATATGGGCGAACGTAGAATTTTATGCATTAAATGATACGTCAGTATAATGCGTACGTATGTGCACGTGTATTCAGATGGGTTATGAAACATTTATTTTATTGCTATGAAAATGTCGAACCGTTACATACCTATCAAGTTTAAATGACACTTACCGGGGGTGTGTCGAAAAGTAATACGTCACGACCTCTGATTATCATGAATCTTGCGCAGTAACTTTGCCAAGGGTGGTTATTGTTCAGCACACCCTCGTTTACCCATCCCATATACTCGATTTTCTCGTTGATACCAAAATTTAGATTGTAAAGCTTAATCTGAAAGGAAAAAAAAACATAATATTAATACAAATACAAATACAAATACAACTATGAATAATATATTTGGTGAAATGCATCGATAGTAAAGAAATAACGGTAAAGTTAGGTACTTGTATTTCTGAGAGATTTGCGATGTTCTCTGAAATAAGTTTAACCCATTCGGACAAACTTTTGACATTATCGCAATGTATGATTGTAGAATTCAGGTCGTTCATGCCGTGCACTTCGAAACCGTTTCGCCGCAGTTTGTCAGTGCCTTGCACGTATCTGGTTACATAGCCCATCATCAGCGGTACTGAATTCAAAATTAAAATCATTAAATACACAAATATAAGTTTATGTAACTGATAATCATACTTATAAGATAATCCGTCCATGGTCCGTCTTCGGTATCACTTTCTCCATTATTGTTGTTGTTTTTACTACCGTTCCCTGCAATAATTAAAATTATTTTATTACATGCGGTAAATGTTTATCAAGATCTTTAATTTAAACTTTTATAAATAGGTCTACTAATTATGGTACAATACATTAACACATGGGGTATAATATCCATTATTATCCGTCATGATAGTATGGTAATAATTAATATATAAATATCTGTTCTGCGTGTATGAAATATACGGAGAAAAGTGCTAAAATAGCATACCATTTCGATAAATTATGTTGAAAAAATTGTTAATTTTGATTTGTATGGTCTATAATAATCGTAAATAGAGGAATATAAATAAAAATAAATGAATAAAGCACAATATTTATAACTATAGTGCCTAATATTATACATTTCTTAGCACGGTATAAGGGTATAATATTTTTCATTATATAGTAGGTAGTGAATTTACTAAGTAATTACAATTTTAATTAGAAACGTAAATTTTCTCGAGACATGAATTAATTAATGCGGCTGAAAATGAGGATGCGATTTCTCAAAGATTAATTATCATTGGCAATAGCGCCCATAAACACAGAAATAATTATAAATTATATTTGAAATAGTTACTATAATTAATCACTAAAAGTATAATTTACTGTCAAGTGAAATTATATGAATCAATAAAAATGTAATAAACAATAAACAATTAATACATTTTTTATGAACTTGGTTGAGTTCATAAAACAGTTTACTTTGTACAATAGACAACGTTGTACTTTACTACGAGGTACAAACGACAAGTCTTCTCAGTTCCATTAAAAACATGTATTTTAGTTCTATAGTTTCACAATAAAATAAATGCTATCAAATCATCACATACAGGCACCTATTGTTTTTCTACGTCCTGGTACCCAGTCCTCCAAGTCTTATGCTATAATTCACCAACAAATGTTTACCAGATACCTAGATATATATCTAGACTATAGTTATCCACCTCAACAAAATACTTGTATAAGTCATCCTTATAAAAACAGATGATAAATCCTTCAACATAAGACACACAGCAGACTCCAATACCGTCTTAAATCAAACATCCAGAACCTACCAAACTCCCACACTATAAACGAATAATTTGTTAAACAATGATCTATTGTCTACACGGTATCAAAATATGGGGAGGTAGGGAGCAGCTAAAATATCAAATATCAGTATTGTTTATTTGTTTTGGCTGGAATTCGATTTTAGGTTAAAATGATAATGAAAAGCGGACTGCGTGTACCTTTTAAAATATTGTGTTTTTTTATCAATTATGAAATAGTAAATAGAAAATATGCTCGCTGCTGAGAAGAATATTATTGGTAATACGATTGTGATATAATATTCAGTATTGTCACCATCCACCGATGCGAACTATAGAGACGACTGATTGACGCTTGTCTTTTAATACATACTGAATAAGTATGATACGTATACAGAAGTATCTTTCAATAATATTTTTAAGTATTTCTCTATTCAATATGCTTTTGTTGTGTCATCAATGCTCCTCATTAGTACTTTAAAACAATTTTTTTTACACACAAACCTAAAATTTTTAAAATTTCTGAATCACTTGTACATTATTATAAACAATTTCATACTAAAACTTTTATAATCACCCTAACTCACTTATATCCTTACAACCTTTTCCCATTACTCTCCCTGAATCATGAGCCTAAGCACAAATTACCAAGGTACTTTCTTAGCGGTTGAACCCATATCTTTCCTAAACAAATAAATAAACCCCCCCAAACAACTAAAAAAATGTAATGAATGACCCAGTGAAAGAATTTATTTTTTCGTGGATGCGAACGCGTTTATTTGAAAAAAAAAATACTCACGTAAACGAATTCATTTTTTTAGAGAACGTTCTGAACACTAGTTTTTACATGTCCAGCGTATAACGTATTACTTATTGTATTTAGTGGCTTAGCGCATATATATTATATAGATTTTAAGTGTATTATATTTATTGATAAAAAAAGGTAAGTATTTCAAAAGTTCAAAAGAAAAAGAAAAATCTTCACAAAAAGAGTCGTTCAAAAATTAGCACATTATAAGTATTTATTACTAAGTTAATAGATACATTTAATGATTTAAAAATTCACATTAGGACACGTAAGGCTACATTTGATTATAGTTGTTCAATCTAATTGGAACTGAAATCCTGCAAACTATAATATGTTGCTGTTTCGTAATAGTAGTGCTATATAAACTAAAAATAAGCACTTGAAATTACTTAAAAAAAACTGAATTATTATAATTTAGTTGGGTAGTTTTTAAATACTACTCATAAAATTACAAAATCGTATATGATTAAGTAAGTACTTAATTATAATATAAATAATTGATTATATAAATAAATACCTCTTGCTCCAAGTAAAAAAGGCGCTGCAGCTTTGTAGTGCTTGACTAATAATGTAACATGATTTCCAGAATTTCGTAAAATGTGTAAAGCTGCATCGTGACAAGCATTTGTGATCAACTGGTCGTTCACTGTTTTAAACACAATAAATTCATCAAAATTATATTAAACACAAAATATTCTCTCACAATAATTATTCATTAAAACGGCTTTTCACAATTTATTCATTATAGTCATAACTTTAAACGGAAATGACTGGAGATGTGAACCTCCCTAGTATCAATATATAAAGCCAAATCTTTTCAACACTAGATTAAAAAATATTAAGGGATTAAGGGAGGTAATATGTAACCAGCGATGAAATTACTACTATTCGATTTTCGTGTTTTAAATACCTCTGAGCACAAAATGTGTGTTAAAAATTAGCATAATCACACTTCAATTTAAAACAAAAAAAAAAATATGTTATTTTATAATTTTACAAATAGTTGCAAACTTGCAACTGTATGTGGTATGCGTATAGTGTATTTAATATTGCTTATTAAATGCGGTTGTACTTATTTAGAATTTCTCTGTACACGGAAAAAAATGATTACTATATAATTGTAGTTGCAACATTTATAGTTAATACAACTATTTTGTAGTAAAGATTAATAAACGATTTTAGTAGATATGAATACAAAATTGTAGTTAAAATATTATAGTATACACTCAGGAGCAATATTAAAGTATAAATAATTTGTACAACATATTTTTGTTTTTTGATTTACACAGACACTTCAAAAATACACATATTCCCAGAAAATTGTGCGCTATGTAAAATTTTATTTTTAAACGAAAAGAAAAATAAGATAGTTGAGTTGTGGTAAAAAATTCCGAGATTGAGGTGGATCTTTTTTTACACATTATATCGGGCATTTGAAAGAAATGATACACCATTTCATACTGAAAAACGACACTGATCGGAAATTTTGTTAGAAATACGAATGTTGTTTTACGTTTAATACCAATCAAAACTTACGGGTCTTATATTATCATGGCACACATACCTTTTATAATAGCATCTCCTACGAATAACCTTTTTGTGTGGTAAGCGGCTCCTCCTTCGGGAATTCTCGATATCAATATCGGCAAGCTGTTCTCTTGACCACCTTTGACACTTATTCCGAGGCTACCGTTTTTTCTTGCAACAGTCACATATCTCAACTGTAATGTTGTAAAAATATATATATATTATATTAAAAAAATCGAGTTACAAGTATTACTCCAGCTACAATGCAGTTCAGGCATGTACAAACTAACTAGAATGAACAACATCGTTTAATTATTTGGTGTAATATATTATTTAATATCTACCAATATATTAGGTGTATATTATTTTATGAATCCCGAAAAAACCAATGAAAAAAAGAACAACCAAAAAAGAACAAAAGAAAAAGAGAACACAGAAAAAAGAACATTTTTTAAACATTTTAAATATTTAAAAATTAAAAAATACATAAATTTGCATTTATAGTGTGTAAAGTGATAATTTACTATGCACACATTTGGAAGGCCTGAATGCACATACAAATTGCCTATATTGAAAAATATTGAAGTATAAAAATGTATTTCTGTTGAAAAATGTTTTTATTTCATAAAATGATGTGATCAAATATGAAAAAATATATCTTTCATTCCTCATCTTTATGTAATAATAGTAATATTTTTTTTGATTTATACATTTAAAATGTTTAAAATTTAAACGAGTGAACACCAAGCGATCATTTTACACACTAATTACAAATGTATGTATTTATTACATTTTTATAATCAATTAATAATATATTTTATATTTTTAAAAACTGTTGTTTTTCCCGTGTTCTTTTTCCATTGTTCTATATTTTTCTGTGTTTTATTCACCTATTGGCTATTACCCTATATTATTATATATACAGTCATCCACATATTGAATTAGAAAATTAAATAAATTCACTTATACATTTTTAATGTTATCCCCCACCAGTGATGTGCCTTTCAATGAGTCGCTTTTTAATGACCCTATACCTATTATCTATAATTATATAGAAATCATTGAAAACATTAAACTTCAGCATCCATACATCGTGCAAATAAAATACCTAGATGGTGTACCAATTACATCATAATATAATACGTACAACAGCTGTTGTGGCAAATATACTCAGTAACGAGTAAACATGTAAATATAAATATTTTTTTTTTTAGTTACATACGTAATAGTTGGGACTAGGCTGATAGTTGTCGACGGTATCCTCGGACGATGACGACGACGACGAATGATGGTTGTCGACTACTTCTTGTTTCTGGAGTTTCAGACATTCTAGCGTCAACACCAATCTTACGGTTAACGAGCCTCGATTGGAATCGTTCACTCGTACTAATCCCGTCCTTGCCTAATGGTGTAATTCATTTAAGTTTTCAAACTCGGTGTTTAATAGTGACACAAAATCATTATGCCTAAATATATATTATTACTTTAATTCCATCCAGGCACTCCTCTTTTATATCCGATTCTTCGGTACTATTTAAATTCAGCCTCATAATTTCTCTGAGTTGATCACAACTGAAACCATATAATATGAGAACACTTTTAATTATAAAATATTACAATTATTTGTTATATTATATTTATTATTATATTTTATTTATGCATAAAATTACAAAAATTAACCACAGGATTTCAAAAGGGTGCATTATAATGTATACTATCCATAGATTATATCGAGCATTTATATATGTACAACTAACTATTAAGTAAGTACTTACAACTACATATACATATTATAGAAACATATATCTTACATATATCAGTACCTGCTGTCAAACTGACCTAACTGTCGAGTGTCTAATTCAGTTCAATAATATTAAAAATACTAAAAAGTTATAATTAAGTATAATGTGTATACATTATAATATCTAGAAAATATAAGTATACTCGTATAATTACCCAGCCATATTACAAAATGAAAAAACAATTTTAGTTTTATATTACGTATTTTTACGGGTTTTATTCTTCAATAAGATTGCAGAAATAATATTATGTATACTCTATATTATAAAACAATAAAATATATCAAATTAATTATCCTGCAACTCACTTATAGTGAGTATGTATAGTATATGTATAGTTTTATAAATATAAATATAAATTAAAATTATATTGTACTTTGGCGATTTATGTGGTTTTTGAGAGGGTTCTAACTATAAAAAACAACGTTTACTCCTATTATATATTATGACGGTTCGGTAAAGGTTTCATATGTAAAAAGTACCTAATATTTTTATTTATTTTTAACGTAGTAAGCGGTTATTAATATGAATGATTTATTTTCGACGAAAAAAACCATTAATGTATTTGCTGTAAAAAAAAAAAATACATTATTTAAAAACATGCGAAAAAATATTTCATGTTTAAAAATGTTATGACTGCAAACACCAAAAATCGTTTAGGGTGCTATATGATAGTCATCGGATAAAATAAAACTCATAATACATATAGTAAGTAGGTAGATAAGTAAGACATAATACTTAAATTTTACGGGCAATCCTCGATTCCGGGTAAAGTCAATATTACCCGCTTAAATTCATATACTTATACTCAATTTCTGATTTTAAAGGGTAAAAATAACAGTGGAAATGAAATAGTGAATCTTCAGTACAATATTATCCGGATAATCACGGTAACCTTATACCGAAAGTATACTCGACCAATAACTATATTATAGTATATCGTATACCTAGGATAAAAATTCGAATGATTATTAAATATTTACCTTTTTTAAAAATAGATTAAAATGCCTAATAATAGTCGAATTACTCAGTTACACGGATACAAAATTTATATAATAAAGTTATCTAGAATCACTAATTCTTACTCCCCTGCAATTACCTAACCTAACCTATAGAATTGTGGGAATAAAACGCTGCTTGTTAAGTGAAAACGGTAAACGGTTCAGTCTAAAATCGATAAAAAAAAATTTATTTTATACAACTGAACGGGATAAAGCACTCGAACCATAGACGAATTGTCTAATTGTGAGAAAATATATTTCTATACGTCATAAAAATCGTTTTATGCTTCGTTACACATTGACACATCGTCGTGATGATACGTACTTGGCGCAATAAACCGATAAAAGAAAAATGACGGCCAGTTCGAGGGCGCGGGTACACACCACCATGATCAGAACGATGAGTTCAGTCCACCACATCTGCAGAGTTCGTCGAAAATACGAGGAAGATGCGTGCCACCACTAGATTAAAAATGTCGAGAGTTTAATCGAACCCTGCAGTGCATGCAGCGGGGGCGAAAAGCGATTGATTTCCCGGAAAAGTCACACGGCTCGAGAAAAAAATCTAAACGTTTCAAAGCTCCCTCGTGTGAAAAAAAATTCGATTCCGATAATAATTAACATGTGTTTGCACACAACAATATCCTTGCATTTCCTCATACGCATATATATGTATATAATACATACATATATATATAATGTAATTTTAATAACTCGCGGTTTATAGCGTAGTGTTATTCCCCGGCGACCCCTTTCCCGAAAACTGCACCACTCGACGACCACCGTATCCGCATACACATCGATGTTCGTAAAATAGTACATCATTATTATATATACGTATATATATATATATATATGTTATACGAAATACATATAATATATACATCGTCGTCAATCGTGTCGTGTGCGACGCGATGATAACCGCTGACATGGGAGGGGATCGGGTCTCGGCTAAATGTCTGGTGTTTGCGGACGTTATATTATTCAATATAATATTAATATATGCATGTATATATATATATATAAACATATACTTATATTTCCGCCGGTATATACGCACTGTATGTGAGGTCGTTGGGGTGGTTTTGGCGTGTGACCGTAGGCGGCGGCGATCGAACACAATGGTTTTGTGTGTGTGCCTCTGTGTGTGCTGTACGCGCGCGTGTATGTGTGTGCGGCTATAGCTGCGCCGCGGGAACGGCCTCTCCCCCCGAAAGCGTTTTCTCCGGCGAACAGTTCGTGGGAAATCGTGTCCGGAACTACTCTCACACACCCCTTCGCTCCGTGTATACCCTTATATATCGCCACTTTTACCCATCCACCCGCCGCGCCCTTATACGCACGTTATATAATTACAAACGTCGGACTTAATCTCCTACGCACACACACACACACACACACACACACACACACGTACAAATGTTGTACTTACGATTACTCGTATATTGTTCACCGTGCTACGCATGTAACGAGTATAGAATTGTGTGTGTTTACCTATTGTAAAACCCATACCTGATTCACCACGAGCATACATAGGCGCGTGCCCGGCGTGTGCCTATATAATATGACGTAGCGATGTGATGTATACAATTAAAAACCTCTGTCGCATCGCCACTGGACACGACTATATGTATAGGTACACGCATTGACACATGCACGTGCATAGTGGTGCATGGATGTATAATGCGCAAGTGTAATATTATTATCTCGTGCGTTTTTCGTTCAAATATTTATACTCGGGCACATAATCAGTATATATTGTATACTGAAATTGAGAATTTTGAAAAAATATTATTATTTGCTTGCAATACAATTATTAATACCAACAAACAAAATAATGGTAGGTTCCTATAATAGTACAAGTTTTTTAAAATAAAATTTAAAATGTGTTCTAAAATGCATCATTTACCCTAGAATTTTTCAGTCAGGTCCTGATTAACCAATAGGCTGAATAGGCTACAGCCTGGGACGCCAATCTAATGCCAATCCCTAATATTAAATTGGGGGAGCTACAAAATACCCCCCTACCCCTACTCCGATAACTCGTGGTATCGCCAAATCAACCCTAGCCTACTGGCGACCAACTCCTTAATCAGGCCCTGTTTCTAGTGCACACAATATTGTGGGACCTACATTAAGTTAATATGGGTTATCAATTATCGCATTAAAGGTATCTATATCTGTAAGTGCGAGCTTGAAATGTTAACATAAATTACAATATAACGGTATATTTAATAATATGTGTCTATATTACGATTATATGCAGACGAACGATTTTTCGCATTCTAAATAATTATTAATATTATCCTATTTAAAAAGATATTTAGATTTGAATTCGATGATAATGTGATCGAGACGACACGCGTGCTAGACGGCGGCGAGGAGTACGAAATATGCAAACACTCGGCACGCGCGCAAATCGACTCCGCTGCACGTGGTTAAACCGCAAGACACGCGCTCTTTATTATATCGTATAATAATAGGTATAGTAATCATCATTCACGAAGCTCAACATCCATGAACGGAATAATTTTTAAAACAAAACGAATTAAACGAGCACTATCGTCGAGGGGCTTTTAATTTATCTGCAGGCCACTGCAGTTTGGTAGTAGTATATTGTTCAAAATATGTTAATACTGCAGTAAGTAATAAATTTAATGTTTTGTCGATAAGATATATTATGCGAAAAAAAATATTAAAGATAAATTATTTCATAAATAGTAATACCATTAGGAAATTAAATTAAAATCTAATTTTCTTTCAATCTACTATACATTACATAAAGTAATTTTTAACTCGTACAAAAGTGTATTTTAATAAACGTAAACAACGCCATAATTAATTAAACATAGAATACACCCAAAGGCCAAAAGATGGGTTAGGTTAGGTTATAAATATTATACTGCGGTCTGCGATTATAATATATCAAAACCAAGCCCCAAATGTTAATTATAACCATTGAATAACATATTTCATTCAAATTATTAAGTAATTAAAAAGCCTTTTACCAAAAAAATGTTTACATAAAATACATTACAATTAATACGTATTTAATGGCATGATAACTAAATACTAATAGACGAATCAACATTCATTGTACAGTTATTTTTATATTTTAAAGATTTAAAAGCATTTTCTTTTAACTTTCATTTAAATATGATATTGTACAAAAGTAGAAATAATAAAATTGATGAAAAGCTTTCAATTACAATGAACTAAATATTGAATAATGTGTGTAATGAAATTAAGAGTATATTGATTAATTCGTATTAATTAAATATGGTATAAATAAAATAGTGAACCCACTATAGCCTCACACCAGTTATTTGTTTAGGGGCCACAAGTGTTGCAATAGTTTTTTTTGTTACAATATTGAACTGCAGTAAACAAATAAATATAGCAACACTTACATCTTAGGGATATCATCTCCAATCTCAATGTGAAAAATTCTATTTTTTAAATTTAATTTAAATAATATGATGAATATATAAATTACCTAAGTAATTAATTAAACATTACGTCGTAGTCATGCAAACAGTGGTTAGGTACCTAACTTTGGTTGGCGAACATTTTTAAAATTTATAATTTTAGATATGCACAAAATGTAAGTTTTCATTATATTTATACTATATAGTTATGCTGTATGGAAAGTTGAAATCAATTTATAATAAAACTTTAAACTTTTAAAGTATACCTATAGGTACTATAACTTTACTCACTTTTACGGATAAAATGAAAACGGTTTTGTAGATTTTCTTTTTTTCTCTTTTTAAAAAAAGTTTTCAACTTGAAAATAATTAAACTGCACATGTATAATAATAACTTTGTTTAACTGAATAAACTTTTAGACTATTTTTATAATTAAATATTTGTAATATTGTATCATACTTAAATTAAATATTTAAATATTTATAACATAATATTACTGCCATCACTACCTACTGGACAATTTTTAGTTTTTACGATTTACCAGCTCGATACTCATTACTCATATAATCATATCTACAAGATACAATAGTAATAACTATAATGATTTAATCGTAGATAGTAAATAGTAGATACTAATGTACATAATTTAATATTAATATTGTGTAATTACATATCATTCAGTAGGTGCCATTTTATAATTAAATACCATTGTATTATTAATGGATCCACTATCAGGACTTGGGTATTACACCTACATTCGACTTCCACCCACACATAGAATCTATATGCTCCAAAGCATTTAAAGTTCCGAGCTGTTTAAAAAGCGTCGAATCCAAGTTTCACCTTAAAACACCTCTGAAAGCTACTTATTATTCCTTGGCGAATTCAATATTTAAATATTCTCGGTGTTATGAAACACAGCATAGTGTCTCCGAGTTAGAACGAGTTCAACGCCGTGTCCTATCTTTTGCAGGTCATGTCGTAGGTCCTTAATATTTCTAGCGTGATTATTGATGTCCTTCAATCAATGTCCTTCACTACCTTGTTTACCTTGTCTACCCTGTCTTAAGCACCCTAGCTGACAAAAAAGTGTTCTATAACTTACCATTTTTGAATAAGTTAATTGTTAGTTTCATTGATGACTCATCTCTACCAATCTATTTTCCCCTTATCATATTATAAACCTGTTGTAATTCTTAGTTTTAATTTCTTAAATGTGTTAGTTAATTTACTAGTTTTGAATACATTTTTTGGATTAAAACGAAATAAATAAGTTTGTTAAGTAGTGTGGATTATAGGACATAACAGAAAAAATATATTGCAAATTTGTAACTATCAAATGATTACACAAGGATATACTCAAATGTTGGACTGAAACAAAACAACATACTTAGGTTTATACGATATAATATATTTATATATATACCCCAATGGTCGTTTAATATATGTGCGCCCCATCATGCACCACCGCGGCATGCCGTATGCGGTGTAATATAAATTATCAAAGCAAGCTGACCGTTACAAATATATTACCTATTATAGAAATGTGTTACGTATTAATTATTATTATGTATTTAATGCGGACATTATTTGGATAATGTAACATACTAATTACTATATAACATTAGTCAAATGACGGGTATTTTAGCCGAACAAAGTTCATAACAAATATAGCAATACATTTCAATATGTTACACAAATATTCAATTAAAAGGCGTAATAGTAATAACTAATAGATAAGTAAATGATTGTATTCAAATAATTTCAAAATTGAGTTTTTACTAGGTATAGTGTTATTCAAACAGCAAATTTAAAACTGGATAATTATAAATATGATAGCATATCAATGGTCAATATAAAATGTCGTACTTTGAAAAAATATAAATTATAACACGTCCATTTTTTTCCTTTTTGGACGTAAAATGATCTTTTTTCGTACATAATATGCTCCCCGATAAAGTTTAGATAAAAAAGTGACTTGTTTTCAGTGGTTTTTATATTGAACGCCCACGGTTTTATTCGAATTCGCCCTCGCAACATGTATTATTAATATAGCCGATTGACTATTGTATATTTTGATATTTCAAATTCGGTTTGGTAAATATAGGTCGGAACACGTACGTGAACGACGCGTTTGATTGCCGAGGCGGAACCAAAGGTGTATACTTAAACTTTCCACGCTACGATTGAAAAACTTTGACAAAAGAGATCAGATCCAAACCGTGCTTGCGTGTGATGATGAGTATATATATTATTTATAGCCGATACACATCGGCTGCAGCCCCCCCCCCCTTCACTCATTCTATTCCGTATCCCACATCCCATTACGGAGCTCAAAAACTTTTCGCGATATCGTCTCAACTTTTACTTGTATTATATATTTTATGCGTGGGCGTGTTGACCGGATTCGAAAACCCACAACTCGAAGTTGCCCTGACTCCGAAAATAGACAGTAAAAAATTTAATTCAGCTACAATGTCTATAGATAGGTATAATATAGTTCGGAATTATTATTACATGGGTAATTAGCGTTAATTGTTATTCGTTGCACACTATCGCCGGAAAACTATACAATAAACGTACGGTGTACACCGCGGTCAGCAGACCGAACTGAATTCACAGGTGCAGCAGAGTTATGCCGATAGGCTCACGTGCGATAAAGTATACTATATCATAGGTATTAGTATACTATATTCTATACTTGTATATTATTTTAAATTATAATATGGCTGCGTGGGGTAGCCGCTGCGAGAACCACTTTGCGGTAGGTATGTATATTATATAAGTGCGTTATGTTGCATTTTTATTTCAACGATATCCGCTAAGTATATTATCCCTTAAACGTGGTAGGTACGTCGTAAACTGTATACCACGCGAGCAACGGTAAAAGCATTTACTATCGTTACTGATATAAATTAAAATGAACGATGTATACAATATGGGTACAGCGATTTGATAAAGCGAGAGTGAATTATTTATAATATAAATATATGTTATGTATACTTATATACGGTGTTCATAAAGTAGTAGGTACCTCTATACATATATTATATAATATTTCTGAAACTTTAAGTATAACTTTTATGTACAATGTACAGTTTAATTCGAAATGTCCAGTTTATACGAGTTGGTTATCGATACTATTATACAGTATTCTACAAAGAATAAATATTAAAAATATAATAGAATTTATAAGTATATTATTATAAGATATCATAGTTAATTACAACCAAAATGTCGAATCATTTACATTTTACAAGGCATGTTGAAAAATTAAACCGATATTCAGCTTTTGATCTCTAAAACGAACACAATAATTCAATCATATCCAATATCAAATGTAGTTACTATTACGAGGAAAACTGCAGTTTTTAATAATATAGTTATACAAAAGTCTATCACTATACAGCCATGTATACGTACCCCCCCCCCTCCACAAATAAGAAATCATCAATATACATAACTCCGTCAAAAAACCTAATAGTGGGAGTGCATTGATGTAGCCAGGATTTTAAAATGGAGAGAGGGGCAAACCCAAAATACTAAAAAAATACGTCACGTTGGGAGTGGGCTTTCAACAAATGGAGCTTTTCTAATATTGTCAAGACAAGATCTCCAAAAAGAATGTCCTCAATATTGTGTTAAAAAGGATAAAATATCTAAGAATACCTTCACTTTCAGGGTAATAATAAAAAATGTACAAATATTATTATCGGTAAACTATTGTATAAAAAATAAAATAAAGACATCGCTTAGTTCAAATTGGTACCTATTTGTTAGGCTCACAATAATACTATATGCAATAATATGACCTCACAATTTACAGATACTATTGGACTGCTGGTTTATTTAATTGCAGTTTGCAGATGCTACAATATTATTTTTGAGTGCACCCGATTTAATTGTTTGATGCTCATAATAGTACTATCCTCCAAAGGATATTTGAGCACTTTTTAAAAGTTTTCGTAATAGATCGACGTAACGAAAGCACCACCGAATTTATTGTCACTTGAATTGAACTCGAATCTCGCAGCAACTGCAGCTTCGTATATTATGGGTCAATAATATATTATTGTGAATTGGGAAATCGAAGATAATAATAATTAGCCTGCACGTGCTACTGCTGCAGACTGCAGTGACATTTATGACATTAAATGACACAACAACGACAACAACAACCACAACATTAACAACACTGTTGATACACCCGTAGTCGGCACATAATAATATCATAATATATTATAAAAAGCGCCACGAGTCCGCTTACAATAATAATATAATAATAACGTGTGCGCTAGGCCACCGCACACACATCAGTACATTGTACTTCGCACCTAATAATACAAAATAATAATAAGTGCCCAGACCGATCACGTGCCCGCCGATTTGCACACTTACATCGCCGCGCGACGGACGTCGTCGGACGTTTTGTCCAGTCGCGCAATAACGGCGGCGACGGCGGCGGCGGCGACGACGGCGAAGACGACGTGTGGACCGTTTATACAAATACATATACGACGCACACGCTCGCCGCGATAACGTCGCGGTGTCGCGTGCGTGTGCGTGTATAATATTATTACCGTGCGCACACCCACACACATACACGCGGGCGCGCGCACTCGGAACCGGATGGCTGTGCCGCGGGTGAGAAGGGACGCCCTTCCGGTTTCCGACGGTTTTTTCTTTCGGTGGTGGGGGGCGGCCGCTGTCGCGGCGTGGGGCGTCCGGACGGCGTTCGCCCGACGTACGGCCGACGGTCGTCCACGCGCCACGGCAGTCGTTCGGCTCACGTCGTACACGTCGCGCACACGTTCGCCCGCGTATTTAATTTTATACACACACATTGTCCACCGCCGCCGCCGCCGACAACAAGTGGTTCGCGACGAGACTAGTTTCCTTAAAGATAAAACCGCAAACAAGGGACCGAAGCACGTGACCCCCTACTCTCGCTCTAGCTAACTGCACAACGGGCAGTTTTTTTTCTTCATATTTTTTGAACTTAACCGTCAAAGTGGCTAACCACAATCACCACCATGACCTGCGGTCCGTCGCAGCCGCTGCTGCCGTCGCGTACCCGGACGCCCGGCCCAACGATTATTTGGGCTACTGTGACCCGGCCGCCGTCAACCTGTGGCGTATGGTTGTGCCTCGCGGGGGCGGCCCGGCTCACCACCCGGAGTCCGTCGCACAACATCAACCACCGACCGCAATCGCCGCCACCGCCGAGCCCCCTCACTGGGGCTACGGACCGTGGAGTTCGATGCCCGCCCCGCCGCCGACTTCTCGGCACCATCATCAAGGCGTCAAAAGGCACTTCAACGAGAGTGACGATTGTGATGATGCATTTTCAGAAGAGTCAAGCAAAGACCAGTAAGTACCTACACATATATTATACTTATAGCACGGGTCCTTAAACCCCTGTACAATTTCCGGAAACGTAAGTTTAGAACGACCGGATCTCTTCGGCAATGCAATAGACTTAGGTTAGGTTACCTACGAATTCGACTGTATACCGCTTTGGATAGGCTAACATTAAAAAAAAAATAGGAATTTCATATAGGTACCTACTTTCAAATTCGACTTAATATCTTATTATAATTTGAAATTTTTTCCTCCGCAACCATCGTATTAAAAAAAAGTTTAAATCTGAAATTTATCGATTTATTTTGAAATTATTATTTTTTTTTTTTATTAATTGTTTATGGCATCAACTACGTGATTATTAGCCAGGGGTTTTTGGGACTGTTGGGATACTGTAGGGTTACTGTAGGGTTATGGAACACGTGTGTAATTTTGAAATTAGTTTACTTACACTTGGCTTTTTTTTTCAATTTTTCCATAGTTGTTCTTCTCCCGGAGACGGTACAGACACACCCCACATGCTCACCCGGAAGAAACGCCGGGGAATCATCGAAAAGAGACGTCGTGACCGCATTAACACTAGCCTGTCAGAACTCAGGCGACTTGTGCCCACAGCGTACGAAAAACAGGGTTCGGCCAAATTGGAAAAGGCCGAAATCTTACAACTCACAGTCGATCATTTAAAAATGATTCACGCAAAAGGTAAATTACGTCTTGATTACAAATAATAGATTTTCTTATAATTAGTTTACGTATCAAAGTTATATTGTATAAGCTAACATCGGCTAACATGTTGGTTTTCTACTTCGATTTTTTAAAATAAATTTCGAGTCTCTCCGTTTAACCTGGGATGGGTTTGGTGTATATTCAAATATTATACTAAAACGCAAATTCCGGAAAATTTATACATTTTACTATCACATTTCAATAACATACTATAATATTGTTCAGTAGTTCGTGTCCTATAGGAACTTAAAATATTATTCGTATAGTGACTATATAGGTACTTTATTACTTATTATACTTTGTCTTCGATAGCTTTTCCGGTCGCATATCCCACTTAAACGATGACATTGCGCGAGTACGTTAAATTATATTCAAGCAGTCCTCGGCCGTCTTCGCCGTCGACTGTTGTACACCACTAAGCCATGTACACCTGTCTCTCGTCGACTTCCCGTCGCAGTGGCATAATATTATACAAAAGGTGTACACGCATAACTACTTACCGCCGGCGAAAGGGTTAGGACCGGAGTGATACCATGTACATAGGTATACATAGTCTATTAACTCGACATCCTGTCCCTCGGCTGTCGGCGACAAGTGCCCGCCGTAGTGGAACACGAGCGGCATACAACCGTAATAATAAATTTTATCACCATTTCAATACGCGACGACGACGACGGTGTCACACATCGTGACCATAGACAACTGCATATTAATGATATTATATTTTCACAAAAAAACCTCGTTTTGTATTTAACGACTAGATTTAACGTCGGCTACGTTCATTATGTTATAATACCGATCCATAGTTAATATTGGGTTGATATAGTGACTTGGCTGAGTATATAGGTCGGCGAATATGATTACCTACGCAATACGGGGGGCATAAGATATTTCAGAGGGTTATGCTCGTTAATAGGTATAGACACAATACAGTTGTATATTATTACACGAAAATATTTGTTAATAATATTCTTTATTCGCGTGATCTTGTCGCTTTCGTGTTGGTCGCAAGCCGTGACCGGGTGTTTTCGACCGTGTGAATTCGGACTTTTATCGCGGATTTGGCTTGTGTCCCGAGTACAGATATTGTTAACTCACTTACTTGTATTTTTTAATTTATCGGTCAAAATTAAATCGCGATGTCTCGGAGGGGGTGGTAAAACGGACAGATTATACACCGTATATACACATTACCGTGAGAACGTGATTCCGTGTCAGCTGCCCCTCGTCGGTCGCAAATCGGCGCCACCCTTTTCCCACGATTCGCCACCAACCACTGCCGATTTGACGAGCATCGTCGCACTTTAGACGGCGGCCCCCGCGAGTGTATAATATTATATACGTATATATACGTATTATTATATTTATACGCAAACACCACCACCGATCACACAACGATTTATTGTTTGTTATTATTATTACCATTATTACTCACAAATCCGTAAATCGGCCATGAAATGATATGGAAGTACCTATTATGCGATGACAATCATCAAATAATATTATAATATCAGGCTTATATTAAATAAAATATTCAAAATAGTTTCACCATGCGCATGCGCACCGCAGTTCCTAAAAGTAAATAAGTATATGGAATTGAAAACTTAAGTAGCGTTATGTTAATACCGGGCGTATGTTAATACGGTGTATAAAAGTATTACCTTAAAGGTAGGTACATAACATACGCGTTACTATAATATCCTTTATAATCACATTCATAAACGCGAAACAGACAAAAAAATATTAAAAAAATTAAACTTTCAGTTTTCGAAAATAAATGTTATTACCTACAATTAGTGGTGAGGAGTTTGGCTCAGTTTTTATTAGGTGATGATTGTGGGTATTATTGTAAACCGCAAAATGTAACTTAAAGTAATTTATAAGGAGAACAATTGTTAATATATCGTATACGATGGTAGTATACTCAATATAGGTATTGTCAGTAGGTAAATAGTGATAATTTGAGACTGTGAATTTAAATTCTCTAAAAAGCTATCAAAAAAAGCTTAAAAAAATTACTTAGTTTTTTCCGGAGATTTTCAAATAGACAGTTTATAAAGTGGAAATTTCCAAATTCAATGCTTTCATAAATGCAATTAATACATTATAGTAATAATACCGAGAACAAAATATAAATATAATAATAATACAACTAATAATATGTTTGTTTTTTTCTTCTTAAGCAGGTTTGGACACGTTGGCCTACGAACCATCGAAATACGCGATGGACTACCATAACATCGGGTTCAGAGAATGCGCCACCGAGGTGGCCAGGTACTTGGAGTCGGTGGAAGGCATGAACGGCCGGGACCCATTGCGTGAACGGTTATTGTCGCATTTGCAGTACTTTGCTGCGCAGCGCGAGTACGCGGCCAAGTCGCCGGCCGCTGCGGGACACCATAACGCCCCGCCACCGCCACCAAGTTGGTACGGCGGTCATCACGTCGGCGCACCGCCGCCGCCGCCACCACCGCCACCACCGACACTTCCACCGGTGCACCATTACCCGCCGACAACGTCGCCGCACCAACAACAACAACAACAACCACCGCTGACCCTTCCTCCACCACCGCCACCACCCAGCCACAACAACAATAATTACGAGACGTCAGCGACGACCGTGGACGGTATCAAGTCAGCGGCGGAAGCGGACGCAGCCGGTCTCACTACCCTGTCGTCCGTACCGGCGGACTACCACCACCACCACCACCATCACCAACAGCAGCGGCAACACGAACAGCAGCACCACCACCGCAGTCGCGACGAATACCAGCACCAACACCAGCACGGCGGTGGTGCCGGCAACCAATTGCACAACTTGCAACCTGTTCAACCGCCCCCGCAGCCGCCGTCGGGCTATCACGATGCTGCTATGCATCAACAGCACCATCAACAACAACAACAACAACAACAATACCAATCCGATTCGTCCGTTTCCGCGCAGATGAAACCCTACAGGCCTTGGGGCGCTGAAGTGGCGTACTAAATACTACTCCCAAACGTACTGTTTTCTACGCTCGTCTCGCTAATATTAATAAGTGACGTGCGAGTGAACGACGACTTTATCAGAGTTTTCCTCCTCTGACATTTTTTACTGTGAATTATTACCTATTTATATGATTATTATATTAATAATATACATTTTCATACACCGTATTCTAGTCAACGACCTTAACCAAAGCTATTTTCGTTTTTTGTACTTATGCATATTAAATTATATTATATATTTATATTAAAGCAATAATTAACTTCACGAGTCTTAGTGCGACTGCAGCCGATATAAATAATATATCGGCCGACCTATATTATTGTTCCGTGTTAGCTATTACAAATATTTACATCATTCAATAATTAACGCGTCGCGGGGGTAATATGTAATCGAAGAACGAGTTTTTTTTAAGTTTTATGTAAATTTTTTTTTTTTTGTGTACTTTAAGAGTCTTACACAAAGAGAGTTTTATTTTGGACACGTAAGATAATCCTAATTTTATTTTTATATATGATATTTATAAAGATTATTTTATACGATATGATAAAAAATTATTTGTTAAATGTATTGTTTTGTATACTTTACACAATATATATTTTTTGAAAATCAAATTACTTTTTATTTACTATTCATTTTCACGTAATATATTATGTGCCCTATTACAAGAGCAAACTGCTAAAAACACGGTAACTGCAGGTAAGTACTTAGAATCACGGGTATACATTTTTTAGTTTCATTAAAAAACAATAAACTTCACAAAGTATACGGCGTACACTATGACGTCATTGGCTATTGAGAATCAAGATGATCATATATCACACTGCACAGCAGTGCATACTATATATACATCACAAAGATCGAATCACTATAGCATATTATAGTTGCTTTGATTAGTTCGAAAACGTGCTGCTACACACCAAGCATTAAAAAATATACACCGCCATTGTGTTCAAGTCTGTTTTCAATAATATTTCATAAAGAGAGGATTAGCTGGGCTCGTTTGAAAATAAACATCATATCACGCGTTTACGTGCATATATATTATATTGATGCTATTCTTTTGAAGCTTTGCGCGGCGTTACGTCGGTCACGTGTCTTTCTCATTAGTCTAAACTTGTTAAGGGCCGGTAATCCCGAAAAAGTAACGACGCATTATTAGTTTTTTTTTTATTTTTAAATAAATAAATAAGTTACCCCCGTTTTCGAAATAGCAAACTAAAGTTTGTTTTGTTGCCCGGGCCAGTAATTCTCAGAGGGTGGTGGCGAACCGGTTATTTCTTGTGTATGCAAATTTCTCACGGTAAATCCCTTCATTAAAAATTGCACATATTTAGCATTTGAATACAAGCAAAAATATTTTGCAATAATAAAGTGCAACATATACAGACCATATGAATACACAACCGCGTAAGGTTATATTTGTTTCTCGTTTGACAAAAAAAACATATCCATTAAGGCACCAAGTATATCATACAATTTCATGTCGTCGGGAGAAACAGAACTATACATTGTCATTATAAATGCATGAAGTGCGAAATGCGAATAAATTGCACTTTAAAAAAATACAAAATATATATTGTAGTATGCGATTTTAGGAGTTAAAATATTAACAGACTTAAATCATTATCTAATATTTTGATACAAAAATATTTTTAAATATTATATTATACAAAAGATACTTATAATAGTCAATACATATCTGATAGTGTTTCATATTATGTATTTCAATTTTTAAAAAGTTAAGCACTTTTTGTCATTATTTCCCTATTATAAATTCTATTGTAAATACAACTATAGTTGCCTTCCAAAGTCAAAAAAGTTAGTGATAGTATTAAGATATTTACAACTTTAAGAGCCAAGAGTTACCTATATTTTTGTGAATTTTTTATGAATCATTACTTAATTCCATATATATAGGACGTAACCAATTTTATAGCTCGTCAGTTAGTAGGTAGAAATTTGCGGCTTTTTACGTTGTTCATTATAGGTACACATTTGTACGCAAACAATAGTCGCTAGTCTAAAGTAAAAAATTCTGTATGTATGCAAACGAGTATCACTGACATTTTTTATCCTGTTGTCTGTTTATGACACTACTGACTCTAATCTAATCAAATAAGATTTTTTTGAAACAATGGCCTGTGATCATTCAAGTTATGGGCGTAAGTATTATGTAGTTACATATGTGTGTCGGGTGAAATAGTAAATAATAAGGTTTAAAATGTTTAAATGTATGCGTAGCTCACAATATATTATAATACTTAACACTACAATGGTGTAGTCGTGTATAAGACATTAAGGCACATATTCTACAATACTGAATCTAATTAGAAATTAGCATTAAGAAATGTAAAAGTAAAATTTATATTTTATTTAATTTAGAATTAGTTGTCCGCGTTAGATTAATCTGTATGAAATTTAAGAAATTGTAGTCTGACTGTATATTATAACATTTTTCTGTCTCATCCCGAAATTGACGACACATATAGCTGACAACAACTACTGAACTAGGTTCAAATTATTTGACTTCGAACTTTTTACTATTGCATTCTTGATTAATAGTCAATAAATTGATGTTTGGGCTGATTATGTTATTTAACTTTATAATATATGTTTAATGTATATATATTAACTCCTAAACCGTGTTAATTGTTCAATATTATGTGCGTACGTGAGTACTATAACAAATATTTAATATTCACAAGAACTGTCCCTTTTTAATAATAAACACAGACTGAAAGATTTTGTTTAGTTTGTATCTAGCGTAGTGACTCGTAATAATAATAATAATTGATCCGTCGTACCCTCATTAATCGTCGACCATAATTTAAACAAAAAATAATTGCGTATTAATTACTAATTTCGGAACAATAATAACTATCATATCGATTTCGGCAAGTGTGTGTATGTTTACATATATATATATATATATATACGTTATACTTTTTACGATTTACTAGATATAGCATATGTATGTATGATATAATAGAATAATAATAAGTTGAGACGTTGAGTAACACTTAAATTATTGCTCTGACCTGCCAGTTTTGCACGGTAATCACATCTTCAGTGTGGTATATATAAATGGAAAAAACATATTTCCAGCAAAGATGACCGATATTTGGGACGACATACGATATTCCGACATGGATTATATTATAATTTATAATTTATACGACGAGGACGTAGAACACTCGCAGTAATACACACATAGTCACATAGACGAACGCGCGTACGATAATAATGTATTATATTATTGTGTGTATTCGCTGGGGACTTGGACCGTGCGTGTACAATGTATAGGTACAATATATCGTCTATACAATATGATGTATATCATTGCGTCGTGTATTACACACGAACTCGTAAACAATAACACATCGACAGAAATATGATTATTATCAGTTCGTAAATGTCACATGATTCGGTCGTTCCGGTGGTTTATAACGCGATCGCGTATACGACAGTTGGACGGTAATTGAAAATGCTGGACCGCGCCGAGTCCGCGAAGTCGTATGCCGCCGCAGTTGTACATCGTTATTATTATTATTATTATAATATAGTGTTCTGTAATACACTACAGTGGTCCAGTGCACCGCGTGTATATATATACGAATCTGGCCGATTGCACAATTGTTTGTGTAAGGGACACGGGCAATTGACAGCGCCGTGTACGCACGTCGTGTGTATCACGAGAGTCATGTGCAGGAGGGCTGCTGACCAATGTCCACGGCGGCAACGCCATCACCGACCCCAAGCCGGCGGATCGCATATAAAAATAAGAATAATATAAGCACTTCAATTTGTTGGCGCGCGTGGACGGGACTTATACCGTGACATGTGCTGCGCCGAACCTGCTGTACAGGAATAGATAACATTGTGCGGTGCGGAAAATCGCGTCTCGACTTTTGTGCAAATAAAACGGAAAACAATCGTCGTAAAAACATCCGAAAGCGTGCGAGCCGCGATACAGTCGCTGCGTGTATACGGCGCAGACAATGATTTAATGTTTCCCCAGCGATTGCCCGGACGAGCGTTTAATGTGCCATATTTTTTTTTCGCGGCCACCCCACATCACGCATAATATACTGCGCACGAGTGTACATTGTACCTATACCTATATGTATAATATGCCGACCAGCGCACATACACGCCGCCACGCCGAAGAACTGTGCAGTGTGTGACATTTGCAGGGACCGAATTTCACGATTTATATGCATAATGTAACAACATAATCGACGTATAGAATGTCAGATGTATTATTATTGTTATTTTTTTAGGAAACCATTAAAAATAGAGTAAAGCAAACAAATGCATCGCGGCTCATCGAACACGTCACAATCCAATATACTTAATTGCGATTATATAGAACTGTTGCGGGTGTATATATTTTATTATACATATACACTTTTATATTATTAATGTAATGCGTTTTGTTGTGCGTATTATTATTATTATTATTATTACTATTGTTTACCAATATCGTTGCCGTGCAGCGGGCGGAAGATGACGATGAGTGCTTGGTGCTCGTGCTGCAGTTGCATGTACGCTATGTGCGGCAGTAGGTATGCCTATTACTAAATATACTGAAATACAACATAACAATGATTTTTTTTATTATTATTGCTGTTATACTATGCGCCAACTGATGCGTTTGTGCTATAAAAACTATAAACGGATTATAAATGGATATTGGATATTTATTTAATACATAGGATATATTATATATGTGTATTATATAAATATAAGTACTTGCGGATACAATATTATGATGCAAAAATAATCTTATCTTTTCATATGCATTATACGAGGTCCACACAGACCCTATTTATTTTTATTATAGTATTAAACGAAAACAATATCACTTTTTTCAATCGGTTGGTCATTGTGTACCTAATATTTACTTATACTACGAGTTAATCGACAAATAATATGCGGCAGTAATTAAAAATCTGACAGATAATTGTGTACTTGTACGTACATTTTGATGTTGAACTAAAAACAAATAAGATTAAGAACTATGTAGGTAGATAGGTGTCAAAGAAAACTTGAAGTAAAACTATAGAGCACAATATAATTTATGAAGGTAATTTAAAAAAAAAAACATTGAAAAGAATTACAATAATATAAAATTATAAATTATTTTATAATTAAATTATGATGTGCTTTTAAATTTGAATTAAGTTAAAAAAATAGTTAACTGCTTATTGATGTTATATATAAAAATGATTTATGAAAAAAAATATAAATGATTGATTTTTATTATTTATATAATTTATTTAATTCTTTGAATTTTTTTCTTTAAGATTTTAACCACCTTTATGTGTTGGGATATTGCAAATAATATTCCATTTAATAATATACAAAATCTTCGCACTTACCAATAATAGTACCTTTATTAAAACAACT